CGTTGACCTGGAATCTGGACAGTAAAACATAAGGCTGCATCCCCCCTATCATCCATAATACGGAACATGTTAGAAAGACTCTTTAGGGTTTGAAGCCTTAATCGATAAAAAATAAATTTTACCTGGATCAGCAGATGCTTCGACGTGAAAAGTGAAAATATCTGCCCCTGCGGACGCCATATCTGATACCCACTTTTCCGGGTTTTGAACCATCATGTGGACATCAAAAATAGTCGGACGGTGAATATGTTTTCTAAGGCATTTCACTAAAGGAGGGCCAAAAGTCAGATTTGGTACAAAATGCCCATCCATGACGTCCAAATGCAGGAAGTCTGCTCCGGCCGCAAGTAAACTGTGGCCACAATCCGCCAATCTAGCCAAATCAGCCGTCAAAATTGAAGGTCCGATCACACAGTGAGTTTTGGAGCCAGAACCCCACAAAGTGTTCATTATCAATTTTTGAACTTGGCTTTCCTTCTCTCACAAATTTTGCTGCAAATTACACACGATTCAGCACTACATCGCCTAGAGATGCCCCTTCTACCGTAAACCGGTTGATAATCAAGTTAGATGCAATTATACCATATCTTCTTCTCTGACAAAGCAAGCAACTTCTACACAAAATATTTCAGCCATTAAACATTCAGCAACTAAACATTTAGACATCTAGGCTTCACTATTTCTAGTTCAAACTACAGATAAGTCAGGAAAAAAGTTTAAAACCGCTGCGAGGTCTCCCACAAGACTCAGTGATCATGGTATTTTCTTCATCGAATGATATACCGGACCTTTCGTCCTCCAGGATACCATGGGCGGCGCAGGCTGAAAAATGTCTGCCATCAGAACCTTCTTCACACCTCTCGGCAGCTAAAAGTGTGACAGCAACGGCTAACAAAAATCGACGAAAAGACAAAGTTACAGGCGATCATTTGAGCCGCTACTTGCGTCGAAAGGATGAAATAGACAGCGCTATACCATTACAATACGTCACGTAAAGTTCAACAATAATGATAAGGCTAGTATGAGCTAACACTCTGAAATTGGAACATCCCTTCTCTCAGAGGGAAAGGGAAGAAGTTAGTTGCCGGATCAACAAGGCACCGACTCGACATGATTGGACCCTTCTCAACGAAGCGCTAAGGATCTGAAATTCTGAACCTCTTCAGGTGGAACCTATTCTACTCAGATGTCGACATCGCGACGTTCGCTCAAGCCGGTGTTGGTGTTCTGGTAGGACCTAACCTAACTGGCGATAACTTTGTTACAGAACTATGCGCTCAATTTGGAGGGAGAATGAGTCCTTCCTTGAGAAAGTGGCTTTGCACGAAGTGCCGATCATGGAATCCATTATTCTAATGGGCGATTTCAATGCGCATGTGGGAGCAGGTACTGAAATGTAATTGGAAAGAACAACCTTAGCGACCAATGAATTTTAACCACTTACGAATTTGCTACAGTTTTGCGCAAACAACAAACTCTCTGTTGTGAACGTCTTTTTGGAACATCGAAGCGTGTATCAGTACATCTAGTGGAATGAGCCTGTGTATTGAAGTCGTTGATCGATTTGATAATCATATTCTGTGAATTACGATGCGCTGTAATGTTCGCGTTAGTAGATGGGCACAGTTGCCTACTGATCATTACCATGTTGTTGGCATGCTACGCTGTAGGAAATGGAGTATCATTATACGATCTAGCGGCAGAAACAATCAGAGAATCAAATAGGATATCATCTGTAAATACTACTGCAAAACTTGTCAAAAACATTTCACGAGTGTTGCAACAAATCCTAGTAATGTCCGCTGATGTAGAAATGGAATAGATGTTTTCTAAGAAAGGCGGTTTCGGAACTGCCGCTGAATACTCTGATTTAAAACTGGTTCACCTACCGCCTCGAGGTCAGAAAGCACCTTCCCGGTGGACACAGGAGCTGCACTTCGCTGTAGGTGAAAAGAACGCTGCAACCAAGCGTTATGTTAAACGCAAAGAGCCTTCAACTCGAATGCAGTACAGAGAATTATACAAAGCCGCAGCTAACACAGCTGCCAAGGCAAAAGATGAACATTGGAAAAATTTCCGTTGAAGTCGATTTTCTCACGTATGGTCATGAGTCGTAGACAATGACTAAAAAGTTCGATTCAGCGTGCAAGCGGCTGAATGTATTTTCTCTGACGAATCGCTGGGCTCATTAATTTTGACATGGTCCGGAGTGCAGGTATCCGAGAGATTACTGGTGTACAACTGCGGTTTTTAAGACTGAGAAATTGCGAGTACGACGGTTTGGTCACGTCTAGTGAATGCTTTCAGAACGGAAAGCAAAGCAACTGCTAGACTCGGGTTATTTTTTGCCGATGCTCAAAGGTTAGTGCAAGATCGGGAATATTAGAGACACTGTCCGACGCATCTACCTCAGGAACCTGACAGGATTTGAGATAATCGAAATTGAATGAGTGACATTTCAGCCAGTCAGACTGCACAAAACTCTCCATGCATTGCTTGACTGTTCAAATTAAATGACGACGCCTCAGAGCTCTGGTGGCCGTCAGAGGAGTCCTCCCTACGGAGTGGATTGAATGCCCCAAATGGAGTGGATGATGAAGACCCTTGCGTAAGATCGACTGGATTGTCATAACCGCAGTAAGCTGGCATTGTCAGATGTGCAAGCTTCACCAATTTATTCAGCTTACGATTACTTATCATCGTTTGATCAGCCGTGGGCTGTGTTTTGGCTTAGGCTGCTGTTGGCTCACCTGCAGTCCAGAAATGTACCCTCTTCAATTGAAAAATAAATTAAATACGTCAAATCAATTAACTGATTATTCGAAAAGTCTTAGAAACCAATGCCACATCTGTATCATCACAATTGGACTCGAATGGTAGTAATATAAATGAAATTTTGACAAATGAACTCACAAACAATGTTCTATTAGGCTCTTCGATCGGAAAGAAAAAAAGTGAAGAGATTTTTGGGAAAACCCCAAGAAAGACTAGTAGCAAGAACACCCTATGCAACTGAACTTGTCACTGGGGAATAACGATTATTTTCGGAATTCGATATTAACCGATCACGTGTGTTCTGCGTTTATTATGCAAGACATCAAAATACGCCAATATACTTCGAGGTATGTTAGTTAACAAATAATTGCTCCAGAACTAAAATTCGCGGTGTGGTTTTGATTTGACAAATTTGCACTTCTTTAACTGATTCACTGACTAGCCCAGGTGTGCATTTGGTAGAAACTTCTAACTGAGCTATAGTCGGAGTTTCTGCAAATGCGTTAACGTCGCTAGGGGAGTCTTTTCTTAGATCTTCTGGTTGCAACAGTGCCGCAGACAGCAGAACAGACCAATAACCTTCCGTTTCACGAAATCCATTTCAAACAGACAAACAGAACTGGCAGAAAGACAAATCTGCATAGTCACAGAAGGAGCAAAGTTAGGCATCGGAAACATGTATAGAATTAGTGTTTGCAAGAATAAATAAATGTCAATAAATTCATGGCGAATCAAATTTTTCTGCTGACGTCGTTGCATAGCAACTGAAAGCGTAGAAGAATATGGCTGAAGGCAAGCTGAACCGTCAAGGCGAACTGTGCAATGAAACGATGGATTCAGACAACACCTTCTTTTCAGACATAGACGAAAATGATGAAGAAGGAAACGAAGAATATAAGTATGAAAATTTGCAGAAATATCTTCGCTTTATTAGGTTATAGTAAACTGGGGCTTGTTTAACTGCTGGTCATCTGGCGCGTTTCCCTGTTGCAGAGAGGAGAACGACCTTGACATATGGAGGTCATCTGTGACAGATCAGCAGTCGTGGACAGGCAGTGGTGAGACCAGTATGGCGTGGCTGGCTTCGAGCTCGATAAGTTTTCAGTCCGTGGAAAAAAGACACAAGGTCTATAACAGTGTCATGCTGAGCTGAGAGCGACCTGTCCCTCTGATTAAAAAGACTGACAAAAAACATAGGTTCTTTAAAGGTCAGAAGAAAAAACTTCGATAACAAACCGAACAGAATTGGGGACCCGATCGTACGAAACACTCCAAGGCACAATCAGCCCAGTCAGTTTAACGGTAGTTCATCCCCTCCATCAGTGCTGAGGTCGGCACAGTTCGTCGTCGATTGTGATTTAGCATTCACGTGATGTAACTAAGCTGAAGGACTTGTCATAGACAACTATGACGAACGTGTGCAATCACACTAGTTTCATGCATTTCCATTTTTCCTATCGTGTTCCCGTTAATGGGGGTCTGCTGTTCGAATCAACTGCCCCCTCCCCCACCACGTTTTCAGGTCTTTGATTAAATCCTCGGTCATTTTGTTGTTGTTATTGTAGAATGCAACTTTTGGTTACCACTGTTATTCATTTGAAATTTTCATAAAGTCGAATGCATGGTCATAAAGCATGCTTCATATAAGGGCCGGTACGGTAGCTCATTTTATTTTGTTCATCTTGTGCAGTAACTTGCTGCCATATGCCACATATTCAAACAGTAAAATACATTTATTCATTCATATCGTATGCTTACTGTATAAGCTCGTAGAGTTTTCAGTCTCTCTGCAACGCT